AGAATATTTGGTTTATTTTTTATATGGCTTGTAGGAGCAAGTTGCGCACTACTTATTGGAAATATGGAACTAGTCAGTTCTGAATTAGTACTTGAAAATGTAGAAATACTGTGTTCTGAAGATGATACAAATCAGGGATGTGAAGTCCCAAAAAGGATTCCGGATTTGAAAGTCACAAGAAGATTACTTCTTTCTAGTTTTTGGTATCCAGGATCTTTAAAAATGTAAACAAGTTTATGGGCTACTAATAGGAAACAAATAAAGACTTTTAGGTAAGAGAAACAATCATTTTTTGAACCCAGAGTCTTTAGGTATAATGGCAGCAAGGACTCCTGACTTAAAAACAATAAGTTTAAGTCATTAAATGTCATTAGTTTTTTTTATAGCAGATCATAAGTTAACAAACATGTTTAGAGCTTCTGGACACTACATATTTGGAAAAAGTAGAGATATAAAGTCCTTTTGGGATTCCACATCCCTGATGCAAATAAAGAACAAGAAACAGCATTGATTGTACTTGTAAGGGCAAACAACATTGACTGTTCTGTATTAAACACTGAGGCATCGTATACAAATGGCTCGCTGCAAAAGTCAACTAAATGATTCAAATTTCTAGAAAAGTTGGCAGACCATTTATTAACTATATTTATAAGTCTTCTAAAATTATTATTGCTGCTGTTAATGCCAAAATACCCATTGACTTGTGCAGCAGTTTTGATACATAACTCTCCATTGTTAATAAATATAAATAGTATATGTCCATTTTTACATTCAATGGTTTTGGGAGGCAATATAAAGTTAGTGGTCATATAACTTTTTAATGCAATATGAAATATAAATTTTTTTTTGGGAGGCATGATACCTTTAAATATTGTAAAATTATTTAAATGTTTGCATAAGTAATTAGATAGCTATATTACAAATAGAAATAAAGATGAATTAGTAACACAGTAATGCCAAAAATAAATGATTTTAATAAAAAATTTATACCAATAAAGTATTCAAAATTAATTTTTTTTTTTTAATTGGTCCTTTTAACCAAGCCTTCCCAGGAAGCGCGTGCGGATACACGCCTTGTACATCTAGGCTTTAAGTAATTTTTTTTGACAACTTGACCACATATTTATATATTAAGTGTTTTAAGAATTTGCGGAAAAATAAAGATATATACCTAAATAAAAGTATACCTAATAAAAAAATAATAATAAAATAAAATAATAAAAATAAAAGTATACCTAAAATGAAGATATTTTAAGAATTTGCAGAAAAATAAAGATATATACCTAAATAAAAGTATACCTAAATATTTCCTGTTTTTATTTTCTTAATTTCACAGCGTTTGTTATTTTCCAATACCAAAATTGATACAAGTTGTTTTTTTTTAACAAGTTTTTCATGTAAAAAAATGAAACAATGCTGCAAAATTTTGTGGGCTTGTGCATTGTTAATTTAGTGAACTTTCTTAACAAAATATTTAGGAGCCTACTTAAAACTTTTGTGTAAGTTTTTAAATACATATTTTTAAACAGAGCAATTGTTATGTTTATTATCTCTAGTAAACCGCATTAACATTAGAAATTGGGCAATATAAAAGAAAGAGTTTCATACATGCATCCAATGCGGTAAATAGATTTATTAAAGAAACAATGTTATTCTTTATTTAACTTATTCAGTCATTAACAAAATTTATTATTCAAATAATATTTTTTTACAAATAAATAACAATTTATTTTCTTATTTTCCTATTGCATAAGTATTGAGAAAAAATATCAAATATAGCAAAAAACTTTTTTAAAAGCGAAAAGACGTGTATATGTGTGACAAACGAATAAATGTAATAAACATAAAAAATTGACAAAATTTCTTATAGTTCTAGCGTACATCGAAAATTAGTTTCTTAATTATATGGACTGATAAAAATCCTGAATAAATTGCATATCAAAACAAAATATCAAAACTTTCGTTGTTAAATCCTTATAAAAGATGTTGTTTTTTTTACTCTAAAAAAAAAGAATAAAGAAGTTGTATAAAAAATTTTAGTAAATTTTTTTTTTTAATTAACTTTTTTTAATTAATAAATTTTCTAGTTTATTTAATTAAACTTGATATTTCTTTACAATTTTGTTTCCTTATTTTAAGAATTTTTTTCCTAGTAGATAAGTTTAACTTTTTGCTGCAAATTATTAAAACTAGTGATGTACCGATATCACTTTTTTGGCCGATACTGATGCTGATAGATGGGAAAAGGCCGATACTGATGCTGATACCAATGAATTGACTAATTATTAAACAGAGTTGAACTCGGTCTATCTGCTAAACTTAAGCCTCTTTCCCATCGCCATAAAGTTGTATCTTTTTCTCTTTTCTACAAATACTATCATGGTTGCTGCTCAAAGGAGCTTTCATATGTAGTTCCATCAAACAAAACTCATTCTCACTTGACTAATCATTTATCAAAGTCTCATTCTTTTACTCTATTTGTCTCTTCATGCTCCAAAAACTTTTATTTGTCTAGCTTATTTACCAGCACTTCAACACTTCGGAACTCTGTCCCATTTTCATGTTTTCCTGACTAATACAACCTTCAACTTTTTAACTCTTCTGTCAACCATTTCCTTGATTTATAACTCTACTTTTTTTTCTAGCAACTCCAAACTTGATTTGTGTGATTAATATGTGTGAACTCCAAATTTGATTGAGTTATTGCTTTTACTTATAAAGCTTTTGCCTATAAACAAAATCACAATAAAAATTTATCAGAAAAATTTCTATATGCATAAAGTTTAGTTTATTTTTCATTTAACTATTATAATAATGCACGATAAAGTTATTAAAATGCCATCGGTTGGAAAATTGGTAAAAAAGGCTGAACCTGATTCCGATTGTAAAAAAAGTGGCCGATTAAATGGGATCCCCAAGCGTTGAGAGAAGTTGTGTTCATATCAAAGATAAACATTAGAAAATAAGTTAAATGTTAAACCTTCCAAAACAAATTATTGAATGAGATATTAACAAAAGCATTTGCTGTTTTGCATTATATTTACGGTTGAGAGCCTAATTTTAGGCTCTCAAATCTGCAAGTTTTTTCCTTTAAAAAACATCTGGTTTCAATATTAAATAATTTCTTTCACCGCAGAGTTTTTTAAACAGTTCAGTTTTACATAATCAATTTGGGTTTCCCCTTCATAAATAGTCTGCGGTGGTTATAAAAAACATTAACTGTAGCATGTTTTTATTTTTGTTCAACGTATTGTGAAGTGTTTAAGTTAAAATAAACTAGCGCAATAAAAATAGTAATTAATCGAAGTGAACTTATCTTCTTTTATCAAAAAATACAGCAAAGTATATGTTTTCTTTTACAATCTGCAATTCATTTGTACTATTTATCATTAAATTACACAAATAAAATATTATTTAAAAATACTAATTTTTTAAAAATATTTTAAAAAATGTTTTGAAAATAATCTAATATATATTTTTAGTTTATATTTATAATTTATTATATTAATTTATACTTATAATTCAAAGTACCGTTTTTAAAATGATCTAATATATTTATTATATTGATATTAAAAAATTTTATATTTTTTTTTAACCGCAAAAGGGAAACCCCAAACATACACTACATGTTTAATTCAATTTAGGCTTTTTAAAAGAAAATCTTTTTATTGACGTCAAATATTAAATACAAAAACGCATTAATCAGACCGGATTAAAATAATAATAAATAGTCAGAGCCAGATCTTTCCTTCACGAGAACAAAATGGGGTTAAAAATTAAATTTTTTTTGTTAATATCTCATTCAATAATTTGTTTTGGAAGGTTTAATTAACATTTAACTTATTTTCTAATGTTTATCTTTGATATGAACACAGGTTGTCTCGACGCTTGGGACCCTTTAAGCTGATGCATATTAATCGTTACATCACTAATTAAAACGCTTAATAAGTTAATAGATGCGAACTGCCGTGGTCAGTTTGTCTAAAAAAATTGATGTAAATGTGGAAGAACAAGGCATCCGACTGCACACGCTTCCGGGAAGGCTTGTTTAAAATACTGTTTTTTTGAAGTTAATAGTTGCAAAAATTATTTAATTTAAAATATTAATTAAATACTGATATGAACTAATATAATTAAAATTATATTAGTTCATATCAGTTGATCACATTTTTTCATGCCTAATCTTTTTTTTAAATTTGACCTAGTTTCAAATTATTATTGTTGCTTTATGTGCTGATTTAAAAATAGTAATAAAATATCATCTAGCTATTTTTTATATATTTAACTTTAAAAAACTATTTATATCTACAATTTAAGTATAGCTACTTGTTGTTGTAAAAACATTTTTTTGTTATTTGTTAACTTTGTTAGTTATATACCAAATGAAGATTACTGATACTGTAAAAGAAATATGAGGAGCCCATCTGCAAAATGTGTTAAGTCACAAAAATGAAAATTTTTAAGTTAGTTCTATTTCCATATTCTATATATTGAAATCTATCATGTATATAAATATTAGACCTGTTTAAAGTTTTTTTGTCTTAAAAATAGGCAACGAAAAAATATATATCTGTTGATGTACAACTATGAGTAATTTAGTTTTTTGTCGTTTTTTCCATGTCATATTCAAATAAGAAAATGAAACTCTTTAACTTGCAAGTGTGAAAGAATTAGTGTTAAATTATATTTAAAAAAAAGGGTTTAAATGCAATTTAAGTAACCCCTAGTTTTTTGCTTTAGGTACCTTAGACAAAAAAATAAATATTAATTTGAAAGTTATCATACTTTTACAATTTCAATTATTTTATATTAACTTGATAAGAAAACTAGGAAAATTGAGTTGATAAGAAAAATAAGAAATTAAAAATCTGTTCAACTTTATAAAAGTCTGACATATCCAAGGTACAAGTTAACAAGATTTTGCTTGATATATTGAATTTTTATAAAATAGTTTAAAACTTTTAAAAGATTAAGTTATATATGTTTTTAATTTTCTCTAGGGTTACAAGCAAAATTGTTTAAAGGCATGTTCTGCTGTAAGTTTTAGCATTTGTTTATTTACCTTATTTTTTTTCTTTTTAACATTTGTTATTATTTTTTTCTGACTTGATCTCTCAACACAAAAAAATTTTATATTTTTGTTTAACCGCAAAAGGGAAACCCCAACACTCTCCAACTTAACCCAAAAGAAATTTTCCAACTTGACATAACTTGATCAAATTATTTGTTTTAAAAACTGAATTTGCTAATTTGTCCTAAGCATTTGGTGAAAATGTTTCTTAAAAAAATATATGCATATGAACAAATTTATTTGTTTTATAATTACATTTTAAATTTATTTTTACAGGTAATTATATTTAGTCATATCATATGAAGATTCAGTAAACAAAGCGTTTGTGTTTTATGCTATAAAATGGTCTTTTTAAACTTCAAAGTCATTATGCTATAAAAATCTTTTAAAAGTTAATTTTTAAAACTTTCAAAATGTCATCTGAAAATAAAAACATATATTAGTTGTGGAAATACTTCCAGTTGTCTGGTGGCACAGGACAACTCGTTTTCTCCAAGGACAACTGAAATTTTAAAACATTGCTTGTCAATAGTCCGGCAGGACGACCAGACTGTTATTTACAAAAGTGTGTTTATTAATAAAACTATATTTTTATCTATAAAGTTTTTATTCCTTGCAGTTATTTAAAAGAAAACTTTAAAAAGCATTTAAAGTAGTAAACACTTTGTTTATAATGAGTACACTGCGATGTCTTACATAATTTTACCAAACTTAAAAAGAAGCTGACACCTGATTTAATATTTCAAAGTGCGACGATACTCTTTTTTCAAACATTGTTGTTGCATTTTGAAGCACGCTGCTTTTCAATTTGAAATGAGTTTAAAAATTACATTTTCTTTCATTTCCAAACGCTATTGTATCATTTTTAAAACCTTATAGTCACATTTTGAATCACGTGAATGGGCAGTTGAATCAATAATAACCCTAAATCTCTTTTGTTTTTCATTAGTAAAATAATTTTTTTTAACTTTGTCGAACAAAATTAACAAAATAAAAAACATTAGGATGCACATGAAAAATCATTATTAGAATGCATTTTTATTTTTTTTATTAATAGTTTATTATTATAATTATTAATGAGAGAATGAAAACATAAAAGTAATATACATATATATATATTCAGGCTTCGACAAGAGTAAATGATAATGCAAGCTATAAATAGCCCATCTAAACCTGTCTTTGCGGGCTATGTGGACTGCCCATCTAAATAGTATTGCACAGACTTTTTTTAAAAAATAAAAATTTTTATGTTTTAATGAAGTTTTTTTTTTATTCTGAAATTTTATTTTATTGATTCTTCATGCCAGGTAAAAAATTTTAATTGTAATAATAAATGTTTTTTTAGTGATAAAAATGACAGAAAAACAACTTGCAACAACAACAAAAAAAAGACGTTTTTTTTTTTAAATAATTTTTTATATTTAATTTTTATTTAATAATTTAGTAATTAATTAAATAATAAAGAAAAAACAATATTCAAATGGTAAAATATAATCAAATAACAATATATAAAAACTATTATACATCATATAGTTGCTTTATAAAATCAAATGATTTTAATTACATTATAAAAGTTCATTCATTTCTCTTCTTCTTTTTGAATAAAAGTGTCATCGTATATAAAAATTTCTACAATCGCCCAATTAACAAGTAGAAGGGTGAAAAATCATTTTAAAAAACTTTGGTAATTAAACTTCAAATAGTTGGATACTTGTAAAGTTAAGATAATAGTTTTTCGAAGTTGCGCTGCAGTTTTTATCTTTTGCGTTATTAGTGTGCGCTCTACTTAGTTTTTCTTATTATGTCTTTGTTTTGTTTTGTTTTTTTCTCGATTTTTATTCAGTCTTTATTCTTTTATTCTCCAGTTTTATCAGTTATTTATAATCAGTTTTATCAGTTATAATATAATCAGATATTTGTTGAGTTTGTTCCAGATATAGTCAAACCAATAATTTGCAAGCAATGCAATAAATGGTAGAAAAACAACCTTCGCATCATGACGTTTGCTTAAAAAATTTTGCAATGAATGTAGCAATTTTGCAAGTTCTATTTGAGTATTAATATGTTAACTTATTATAATGATGGAATAAAATATAACATTTTTTATTGCGCTTCTTTAGTTGACTCATTTTTCTTGTCTTGGTAAATTAAATTAAATTTAAAAAAAATAACCATGATAACTCTAAGCTATCAAGATATAGTAACAATTATAATAATATATTTTTTTAAATAAACCTTGAACCAAGAAGTTTTATTCTTTTACAATTGTTTTTCAGCCGTTTAGACTAAAATTTTAATTATTACTATTGTTTCTGTTCAATTTACTATCATACTCTTTTATGAACTTGTAATTGATTTTATATTCTTTTCGGAATTCAGGAAAAAGTATATATTATGTTGATGTGATAGGTAAGTTAAAATTTGAGGTAATCTAATTTTTAATTTCTAAGAGACTTAGTACAAATAGATTTTTTAAAATTTTGGTATATATAATAATAATTCTTCTTAATGAAACTTCAAATATATTCTTATATAATATAGGCGTGTTTAAAAAAAAGCGTTATATGAATTTTATAAAAAAAAATTTTTTTTAACATTTTTTTATGAATAGAACCAATAGAGGGGTATTAAATGCAATAGAGAGGTGTTAAATGCAATAGAGGGGTATTAGATGCAATAGAGGGGTATTAAATGCAATAGAGGGGTATTAAATGCAATAGAGGGGTATTAAATGAAGTAGAGGGGTATTAAATGCAGTATTATTTTATACTAGCTGATCTGACTCGAAAAATATGGGTCTTAGTAAGTCTATTTCACACTGAGCTTTTCCATACTTTTACCTTATATATATCTTAGCTTTCCGGACCCATAAAATACAGGTGTTTACAAAACCTACCATTTCTATACTTATCTATTTCACACCAATCATTTCTATACCTATCATTTGTTTACTTCAATATTTTTACGTAAAATAATTCATTTTGAAAAATTGCTTCAACAACAAAAAAAATAACATGCGCACCTTTTCCATGTACCTAGAGCTTATAAGAAATTTACAATTAGGTGTGTTTTTCTTCTAAACGCATATTTTTGATAGTTCATCAGTGTCATTCTGGGGGATAAAAGACGCCCCATAATAAATTATGAATATTTTTCAATCTTGCTCTGTTTATAGCAATATTTATAGCAAAAAATAATAATAATATAGAAAAAAGTTTTCTAATTGTTAAAATAAAATTCAAAAGTTTTCTTATTTTTAAACTAGCAGTGCTAAATTTTTTTTAGAAAAAGGAGATCTTAAGTTCTTTAAGGTAGCAATTTTCATTAAATGTAATGAGCTGTTTTGATTTTTTGATTAACTTATGACTCTGCGAGAAAAAATTTTGTGGAAAAGATTACTACATCTGTCCAACAATATTCTAGAAGTGGTGAAATAACATCCACACATTTGTGTCCAAGATCATCCGCTTTTTTTTCTTTACTGAATTAACATCTGTGTAACAACATCCAAAATTTCGTTGATGTCTAATAACATCTTTAGAAAGATGTAACTACATCCGGGAGTTTTTCTCGATGTCTTACTACATCTGCCTAAAATAATGCATTATTAAATAAAATAAAGTTCCAGATGTAGTTACATATATAAGTTACATATATAATTATTATATTATATAAGTACTGTAACATCGGCTGACAAATAGCCCGACTCGCAAAGGAGTGCTACTACATCGACTGAGAGTTTGGTTTGGGCAGGCAGTCTATCAAATAATTAAAAAATAAATTTTATTATGCTTATAATAATGCATTATAATAATAATTTTTTTTGCGGATCTTATTACATCAGAAAAAATCAGATGGGTAACTACATCTGGCTAAAATAATGCATTAATAAAAAATATTTTGGCCCAGCAATCTTTTAATTTTAAAAGATAGAACAAAAGAAAGTTTTTATTTTATTCCACTCCTGCTTTTCAGCGTTCAATGTAAAGCAACATATTGACTACCATGAAATAGTGTATGTAGTGTTGCGCACCTAGACAATCCTATATTGTTTGACCAGTATGTGCATTGAAACTTGAAGTTCTGTAACACTTAATCATAGATTCCAACATTGATAAATAAACAAAAATAAATGCAATAAATATTTTTCATCTTTTTGTTTACTGTACAATACATACATCTGTTATTGTAGGAAAATTAAACAAATTTAATCATTGCAAAATAGTTGGTTTAACTTTCAAATTATGCTTTACACATCAAAATTAGTTTAAATGTATTGGTATGAAATATGTTACATTTTTCCACCTAGCATTGGGATGTTTAGTCAATTGTTATTTGATTTAACAACAAGTTTTACCACAAAAAATGTTACTCACTAACTTTCTCTGAAAAAAGTGGAATAGGGTACTCTGCAACAACTGTTTATTTGTTGTGCATTCAATGATGTGATTCGTTTCTTATTTTATCCATCAGCTTGGCCTAATTTTTTATACAATAGTATCTCTTTTTTATCTTTAAAATAAAAACAGTTCATTAAGATAACAATTAGCAAAAAGAATATACCATAACAAAATGGAAAAATTTTGTGGAAACATGAAAATATTTCATCAGGCTTCAGTTCAGAAATGCCATCTGTACCTTTTGTTGAAATTGTTACACATTCTGCTTCCTCTAAAAAGTTGAGTTTAGTTGAAAAATTTAAGATTTTCAACAGAAAAAGCTTTTAAAGGTTTTGAAGAGTCTGGTGACGATTGCGATAAACAGAATAACATGTGAAACAGTTATTACAGTTATTTCAGTGAAATGTCGCAACAAATTGACATTTAAATATGAACAAAAATGAGTTAGTTATGTCCAATATGAAAATAAAACAAGCCCACGTATTCTGTTGAATATTATCAGCATTATCATTGTAAGTGTCAAATTAGTCATAATGGATCAACCTCTGGTATGGTGTCTTAAAACCTTTGTAATTGTTCTGAGTTGGAAAATAATTTAAGTTATAACACTTATATTGGTGATGGATTTGTTCATATAGTAGTTAATGCTACCCTTATGGAGATGATGTAGAAATAAAAGATTGGTCATATTCAAAAATGAGAATATGATCAATTTGATATTCAAAAATGAGAATATGAATGTCACTAATTTAAGCAATTAAATTAGTGACAAAAAATTAAGAGGAGCAGTTCATTGTAAACACATTTCAAAATAGCTATGGCAAAGCAATAAGACTGAACATTGATAACTCATATGCGATGAAAAAGAGTGTAGCAGCTGTTCTTTTTCACTGTTCTGTAAGCTATGAAAACTTAATTATTAATTTTATTTTTTAAAAGGTTTTCAGTGTAAGTTACAGGCTGATAAAGTAACTGGGAAAAAAATATATAAATAAATTGTTTTTTAGCTGCTGTGCAAAGTTTAATCAAACCAATGTTTATAGACTTTGATAGTGATAATCTTTTAAAAAACATGTTTACACAGTAAAACAGAGAATCCTAATGAGTCCTTACGTCAAATAAGGTGACTTAATTCACTATTATTAAATTTTTTAGCATAAAATAAAAGGTTTTGTCAAAAGTCTTAATACTCAATTTTACATTAGGTCATGATCAAGCATTTATTGAGCGGGGCTTTTTTATAAAGAGTAATATGCTTAATGAAAACATGAGCTTTCAAATTGTTAGATATCTTGAAAATTTCATGTTATCTAACAAATTGAAGGCTCATCGAGTAGAAATCCACAATGAAATAATAAAGACTGTTTGTAACACCTCATTGAAATATTGAAACTATCAAGGGGAAAATAGAAAGTTCCAAACAAAAGAAATTGACATAATTTGATATTGAATCAAGGAGTATTAGGACTTGAGGAGTAGAAAAATGTTTTCAGTGAAGTATGAAAGGCAAATTTTTATTATTGCCTTTCTTTTTATTTTAAATGCTTATTCTTTTAAGCTTTTTATTCACATTAGTTACTGCTACAAAAAAATTGTTATACTTGTAAGGTTTTTAAAATAATTTTTACCTAAATAATTTAGTATTTGATTTTTTATAGGTAAGCAAATGGACCATGTTTTGTGAGGTAGAATTTCCAAATGCAGTTGAAACTTTTATAAAAAATTTAAAAAGTAGCAACTATCCTATTGATATTCCAGTTCAGTTTCTTCAACTCGAAAAAGAACTGAATGTTAGTAAAAAAACTCCAAATTATATCAAATATTTTAAGGGTAAAAAAAGCTCTAGTTTTGCTGCTAGAGATGGTGCTATTCTAACTCATGAAGAATTTGATTCAATTGAGGATTCTCTCATCCATCTATTTAAAGTTCATAACTGCATGAGTTGTATTTGTAAAGAGACAACCTTAGCAGAAAGCAAGAATCATCCACTTTTAATAGAAAACTCGGAAGTTTGCTGGCCTTATCTTTGTGGCTTTAATTTGACAATTATAGATTTGTTATTATTGAGTATGTTGCTGGAATGTTTGGCTTGGGTAGGCTATTTTTATTCATTAATTGTATTGTATTATTTTTATAAAAAATGCTTTTTTATTCAAACTTTAATTTTTTTTTCAGATTCCATGTTTGTCGGTGGCAAAAGAATTTTTCATTAAACTCCCAAGCATCCATAAATGGCTTTTAAGATGTACTTCTTATGTATACTACAAAAATGCTATAGAATATGTTCATAAAATGTGGCAAAAAACCAGTTCTAATTGTCAAAAAATGAAATTTAAACAATACTTCACTTATTCTTTTGCTGAAAATATCACACATGGTTTGTTACAAAACTTTATTATTTATAGTTAAAATAGTTAATAATATTTATATATTATAATCAATATTTGTTTATTATTATTAATTTTTAAAACAATATTTGCATTAGTTTAAATAGTGATATTATTAGGTTGTCCAGAATGTCTTTTTTGTGTTCATATTCATTTGTCATTTTTTATCAGCTTATTGTATACTTTAAAGCTGTGCAAAAGATATGTTTAAGTTGCATTGTAATTTATTAAATTATTTCTTTACAATTTATGCTAAAATGGCAAGCTAATTAACAGAAGAAGTACATAATATGCACAATGCTATTATTATTATTATTATTATTTTCCAGTTTCATATTGAAAGTAATGCAACATATTTCTTTAGTAACACAACACAGGAGCATTATTTGATTGTTTTAAAAAAATGGAGAAGAAAAATGGTCTCTGTTCAAATAAATCGCAATGTTGAATATATGTACATTAAATAACAGCATTTGCACTCTAAATGACAACATTGAATATTTGCACACTTAATGACAACATAGAATATTTACACACTAAATGACATAATTGAATCTTTGCGCACTAAATAAAAAATTATCTTTAAAACAAGATTGGTTATACCATTGATTAGAAATGAAATTTTACAAATATATATATGTATTTTTTTAAATAGCATTATTTTCTGTTTTCTCTTATATGTTATATTTTTATTTAGACAAAGTTTATATGAATTGAATTTTTTTCAAGTTACATTTGAGGCGAAGGGAATCAACCCTAGGCAGATGCATTGTACTATCACAAAAAACTTGCCACTTATATATGATTTGTTAGAAACAAATTGTATTAGTCCGGAAATTAAAAACTTAAAAAGTCAATCCATTGAATGGGATAAAATACCAACAGATTTAAATCCATCACAAGGTATTTTTAAAACTTTTAGATCTTAATTACTTATATATTTTTAAATAAATTGATAGCATTAAAAAATTTCCTTAACAGGAGACTTAAATCCAGAAAGGGCTCTTCGTAAAAGACAACAAATAGAGAATATGATTTCATTAATTACACCTGTCTTAAAAAGTGGAGATAAAGTTGTTGATTTTTGTTCTGGTGGCGGGCACCTTGGTATTGTTGTGGCATACCTTAGGAAGGATTGCACGGTAAATTTAGTAAAGGCAGTTGTAAATAGAAATAAATATTATTGCATGGTTGACAATACAATTATTTTTATAATTATATATATTGTTATGATGTGTGTATACATTTGTATGGGGCAGCAATATTTTGTTTCATTATTCTTTGCTTTTTTCTCCTTTTTCTGAAAACTCTGTATAAATAATGTAACAAAAAGTAGAGTAACAATTTGTTTTATATATATACAGGGACTATTCTAGGAAGAAAAATTTTAATTTGGGTGGCACCCAAATACAGTCAACACTGTCGAAAATGGTCTAGAATAGCCCCTGATATATATATATATATATATATATATATATATATATATATATATATATATATATATATATATACATATATATATATATTAGGGTGGGTCATAAAATTTTTTTTTAGAGTTGCTAACCTGGCTATGGTCTAGAAAGTTGTTTTTTTATGTACTAATTTAGGAAAGTATTTACTTTTATGGATTAAACAATGTCTTCCACCTGCAACTATCATTACAAAAATTAGCAGGCCCTATAATTATTCAAAAAAAAAGTTTTTCAAAATTATGTGATGTAGGTACTCAAATAAAGCAAGTTTTTATAAAAATTTCAAAAATAATAATTTTTTCATATAAAGATTATTATTTTAGATTTTATTGCATAATAACTATAGTTTTTTAACTAAAAGGGAAAAAGGTGCATTTTTACATGTTTTTTAATAACAATTTTTTTCGGCAATATGATTTTTATAAAATGATTATTATTTTCAAATTTTTAATTTCGCTTCTTGTTTTGTTTAGAGCCTGTAACAAGAAAAAAAAAATTTATGACCCACCCTAATATATATATACATATATATATATATATATATATATATATATATATATATATATATATATATATATATATATATATATATATATATATATATATATATATATATATATATATATATATATATATATATATATATATATATTAGGGCAGGTCTTAAATTTTTTTTTTTCTGCTTATAACATGAAAAGTTGTCCTATTTGTCCATCATTAAGGGACTATAAGAGATTTTAAATTTTAAGCTCAGTAAGTACCTGCAATTTTTAGCTAAAAATGACAAAATAATGTGAAAACACATTTCAATTTTATAAAGGCATATTCTTTTAAATGTTTATTAAGTTTATATTATGTCTGGTGTACATGAAATGATATTAGGTAAATCTAAGTAACCATAAATTAATAAAACTTAACCTTAACTCAGCCCAAAGTAATCCTAACATACTGTTAATTTACATAAATAATCCTAACATATTGTTAATTTACCCCCGTCAAACCTGAAGTAACGCTTATAATATATTACAAGAATATATGCGTTTAACATGTTTTGTTTTATATTATAGATTGTTAATATAAAGTGATAATTAATTCTTGCTACAAAGGGGTTTATTTCAATTAGTTGTTTATTATCAATTCTTCATACTTGGCATCTATTGTTGGTTGGACTAGATGATTTCCATTGTATTGAGTAATAAGAAATGGCATCTTTCAGCACAAGAGTTACGACAAAACACTTAATTCTGTACCATCAGTTATGAAAAAAAATTATTTCTACTTCAAGTGATGTTTAAAGCACAAAAAATATGGTTGCGTGCAGAAGAGAGCGACAGCTATAGCACAGGGAGTTTTAAGTATCTATAACTTAGCGAATATTCCAACATTTGGTGAAAAGAATGTAGTCAACCATATAAAGAAGTTTATTGATAAAGTAAGGGTCTTGGTAATTATCTGGGATATTCCATATTTTAATCTAATAGGACATCCATCACTTAGCAAAACTGTTTGAAATCATTACAAATTGTATTTGATATATGTACTTGTTTGTTGACAGCGGTGTACAAAAGAATTCATAATGTATTTGTCCACTGTTCATAAAATACCTCCAACAGAATGGTCTTTCTTTTTAAACCAAAAAACTGAAAGAAAAATGTATATAGGTGCTATAGGTAGAAAGGCTACGGCTAAGTTGCAGAAGAAAAAGATGTGAGCAGTCAAATATTTGAAATTCGAGCGCTATCAGAAAATGATAAATAAATATCAGTCAATTTAGCAATACTACTTTCATGTTCTGCCAATTTGTCAGTTGATGTAGCAGCACTCCTTGCATGTTCTACCTATTTGTCAGTTGATGTATAGAAACAGTAAAAAAATAAAAGTTAAAACATTTCAGTCTATTATTTTGTGCTTTTATGGTTTTTAAAAAACGTTTGTTTCCTCAATAAAATTGAATGGTTTTGACATTAGGCATACTTAACTTGGTCTTCTTTAAACAAAAAGAGAAATTAAGAGCTGTTTTTTATGGCAAACAGTTAGTATAGATGTCAAACTATAGGAATATATATATATATATATATATATATATATATATATATATATATATATATATATATATATATATATATATATAATATATATAATATTTAATATATAATATTTTAGGCTGCTGCTGAATTTTATTTTGTTTTTAGCCTAAATTTTGTCTAAAGGAAGGTTAAAAAAGATTAGGATTTTTGTATCAGTAGGAAATATTTGTTATAAACATTTATAAATATTTGTTATAAACATTTTTCAGTAAAATTACTTTTTATATGTCATTATTAACATCTCTATCGTGACATGCGCAACAAATTTCTCCTGCTGTTTTGATGCTTATAGAAACTTTAAGTTTTATTAAAAATTCTCTCCTTTTGTGATAGTATATAATAATTTTATATGTGTTATGTATATAATATCTATAGAGCTTAAAAAAGGATTAGAACCTCTGCGTTGCACTTCAGAAGCGAAGCAAACTTACCGCTTTGGCCACGCATTTTTTTCAAAAAGCAATAAAACATTCAAGTTGTTATATCACAACCTCAAAACAACACGGTTTTAACTCAAAGTAGATTATTTTGTGAGTTAAAGCCTTGTTGTTCTGAGGTCGTGGTATGATTTATATCCAGAAAGTGCTAATTTTAAAAATAAAACTGATAAATGCAAATAACCTTCTGCATGAATCCATTTTATAGTATTGTCAAAAGTTTGAAAATTTGCTTTAAAGGCTCATATTGTTTAACTATATAAAATTTTTAATACATTAAATATTGTAATGAAAAGCTTATTTAAAATGCAATAAAAAGAACAAAAATAAATTACAAAAGTCTTGCAAAAAAAAAATATATATATATATATATATATATATATATATATATATATATATTTGTAAGACTTGTTGTGAAGCCATTTAAAATATCTAAACTTGTATTTTTTATATTTTATAAAGTCTGGTATGGCGAGGCAAGCAATTACTTGCACTTCTTGTAAGAGGAAATCATTCTCTTGTTTGTATAATTTTCAAGACTCTTATTCATCAGCAGAAAACTATTCACAATTGAGATTGTAAAAAAAAATTTTTAATTATGTTTTATTTTTTTTATTTTTTATTATTTAACTATTTTACATTAGTTTTTAAAAAAAATTTAATAATGTTTGAAAATTGAAATAAAAAAACTGGAAATTGTTTAAATCAAATTCTTATTTATTATATTTTAATTTATTATAATTTAAACTGTATAAGATATCAGATAATAATTTAATTAGACAAATTGATCATCTTTCCTATATTTCAAAGCCAAGAAATCGTATATTTGGAAATTTGATTGAGAAGCCACTAATAGATTTTCAAAATTATATAAGCAGATATTAGGAAGATATTATTTCCTTTTAGAATTAAGTAATATTCCTATCAATTATTGAATAAAATGTCGATACCATGTTTTACAGAGAAATCTGTGCAAAGAAAAGTAAAGTCTGCTATTCAAAGTTATAAATTTGTTATTCAATCAACACAAAGTACAAATAAGAAGACAATTGTTATAAATAGCTGGGATAAATTATTTGACTTATTGCCTGAAAATGCTAAATTTAAAAATCTGGAAGACAAACTCTTTTATGAACTTTAGATATCTTCCAATGGGTGCAAAGGCCAGTGCAGTATTGTGAAAGAGCCTATTATACCACATCTGTGAGACCTGCCACCTAAAAGAAAAGAATTTGAAACAAATTATATTCAATTGTTTGATGATACAGACAATTCTAGTAGTGAAAGTTTAGAAGATAATAGTAATGATTACACAATCCCATTGAAATGTGCAAAGATTACTGGTAAAATGGTAGCTAAGATATCTGAAAATGAAGGTTATCCAATAAGTTGTACAGCAAAGATTGCAGAAGATATACTCAATGCAGTTGGTAAGACATTGATTTACAGATCTGCTGTCCAAAAAGCATCTACAACACTCATGCATATATTAAGCTTGATTTGGTCTTATATTGACTCTTCTGAAGAAATGTGGTGCTTACATTTTGATGGTAAGAGCATAGGCAAACATCATTATTATAGCACTTACATTTCAAGCAAGTGTAAATATGTGGTTATATCTTTGAAAAAATTTGAGAAAGGTTACTCTATTTCCATTTATAACATGTTACACAATATTATTTTGGAATTTGATTTATTAAATAAAATTTTTGTTGTAATTACGACACCACTGCAGTAAATACAGGTTCTAAAAATTATTAATAAAGCATTTGACAAAGGTTATTCCAGGTTTAGTGTATCATCCTTGTCGACTTTATGTTCTCGACATGATTCTTAAATATGAACTCAATTTTGATTGCTTATCAACATCACCTAATATTATTATATTACTGATTCATTAATGAGTTGATAACTACCATGGTAACTACCATGGTTGAATTGAAAAATACAAGCCTAGCGGGCCTGTTATTAAAAGTAAAAAATATGGCAGGAATGATTATACAGAGCTGAATTTGTTATGTAAGTCTTATTGAGACACAATGAATTTACCAGCGATTTATTTTTCTAATCCAGGGTTTATTTCAAATGCACGATGGAATTCAAGAGTTATCTATTACTTGAAATATATGATTTAAAAAAAATTAGTAATAGAGGCTAGACAATTTGCAGGGCCTGGGAATTTGGAGGTTCTTTTCTAAATTTTTGGGTCCTTTTCTAAATATAAGAATTTTTGTTAGTAATACACCTAATAAAGTTTTTAAGATTTTAACACCCTAATGACTGGTTGGGGGGGGCGCTCTGAGTCTCTAGCCACACCACTGTTAGGTGTTTTCAGATTTTAGTTTATAAAGGTCATTCCTTTTAAAAACAAGACTTTTCAATCTGTTGCAACAAATGATTTTTGAAAAGTTATATCCATTTTTAAAAAATTTGTGAAGAAGGCTTTTGAATCTGTTACAGTTAAAATTATTTTTAAAATACTTTTTGTAATATTTTTCCACCGTTAGTTTTAAAGCAAATTAATTTTTAGAAAAAAATGTAAAAGATTCCCACTCCTACTGTAGATTCTTACTAGATTCTACTCTAGATTCCTACTGTAAAGCTTGATATAATTTTTAACATTACATAATTTGAAGTTTACATAAGTTGGATCTTTGCAGACTTTTATGTTCTTATAAAAAAAAGTGGTGTGACTCTTTCTTGCTATTAATTCAAGTGTAATTGCTATCATGAGTTCTGTGTCAAGCACTCACAAATGAGCATTAATAAGCTGTATTAATAGAGCATTAATAAGTTATATATATATATATTTATATATATATATATATATATATATATATATATATATATATATATATATATATATATATATATATATATATATATATATATGTATATATATATTTATATATATATATACATATACATATATATACATATATATACATATATATACATATATATATATATATATATATATATATATATATATATATATATATATATATATATATATATATATATATATATAAATATATATATATATATATATATAAATATATATATATATATATATATATATATATATATATATATATATATATATATATATATATATATATATATATATATATATATATATATATATATATATATATATATATATATATATATAGTCTTGCATGTCTCTTGCGTAGCATCAAAAAATATTTCCCATAAACTGTAGTTTTAAAGAGCGCGTTAATAAACCAGACCAGAAAAAGTTTTAAAAATTAAATTTTTTTTTTTAATTGATAGACTGCCTGGCCAAACCAAACCCTCAGTCGATGTAGCAGCACTCTCTTGCGAGTCAGGCTATTTGTCAGTCGTTGTAGCAGCACTCCCTTGCGAGTCAGGCTATTTGTCAGTCGATGTAGCAGCATTCCCTTGCGAGTCAGGCTATTTGTCAGTCGATGTAGCAGCACTCCGTTGCGAGTCAGGCTATTTGTCAGTCGATGTAGCAGCACTCCGTTGCGAGTCAGGCTATTTGTCAGTCGATGTAGCAGCACTCCGTTGCGAGTCAGGCTATAAAATAGTCGATGTAGCATCATTTACGCATGTTTAAAAAATGTTTTTTATTAAATCAATAACAAAAACACCACTAATTAAAAAAAACTTTCTAGTCGTTATAATTGCGGTTTTTTAAAAATTTGTTAAAAAACAATTAAATTTAATGTACTTCCGCATAAATTAATTGCTTTGACATTTCGATGACAATCAAAAACAGCTTAAGAGACGAGGTAATTAAAATTGTAGTCGTAAGAGACTTTTTTTACTTTAAAATGCTCTTAAAGCGACACTATATGAGTATATATATATATATATATATATATATATATATATATATATATATATATATATATATAACTTATTAATGCTCTATTAATACAGCTTATTAATGCTCATTTGTGAGTGCTTGACACATATATATATATATATATATATATATATATACATATATATATATATATATATATATACATATACATATATATACATATATATACATATATATATATATATATATATATATATATATATATACATATATATATATATATATATATATATATATATATATATATATGTATATATATATATATATATATATATATATATATATATATATATATATATATATATATATATATATATATATATATATATATATATATATATATATATATATATATATATATATATATATATAGCCCCGGAATTAGGGTAGACATTCGTCAATGCCAACCTAAAAGTCGGTAGGTCGGTAAAATATTGCCGACCTTGTTATTATGTTTTATGGTCACCCCGTTGTTTCAAATTTTTGCGATCTGATGCCGACCTTTAATAGTTTGAGTTCGGTAATGTAACATTAATTTTATATATATGTATTATTAGTAAATTTTGCAATCTTCCTGGTGGTAGTAAAACAATAAAAATGTTTAGACCAGAGTTTGCAAACAAGTTAATGCTAGAAATACTATTTTGTAGTGATTTTTTCAACACTTCCATAATGCCATGTTTAAATAAGACAGTGGGCTGTAAGAAAAGACTTTTTTAAACTTTTTCACAAAATTTTTGTTTTATTGTTTATATATATATATCATTATTCATGCTTGTATAAAAAATTGTTATGTAGGTATTCTTAATAGAGAACAAAGAAGAATCTATTGAACGTGCAAAAGCACGAATCAAAGAATTGAGGCTTACAAATATTTATTTATTACTGTCCAACTTTGAATATTTTGACAAGCCTTTCAACATTGGTATATCACTTCATGCTTGCGGCTCTGCTACAGATCTTGTACTTGACATGTGCATTAAAAAAAAGTAAGTTTGAAATATTTCATACATTTTTCAGTAATTTTTGAAATGTGCATTCAGAAAGATTTGTTAGTATATTGTCTGTCTTCTTCGCTGGCTACAGCTTGGTGAAGGGAAATAAGGTAGAGAAGCTAGGAGACAACTCCATTTGTTTAAATAAAACAGAAAACAAAAAATGTTCATTGTTATAATATCTTGGCAAAATATTATTTTTAAATATTTTTTGTTTAATAGTTTTTCAAATGTTACAAAAATAATAGATAAAATAATTTGTGAAATTTATAATTAATTTTTTCCAAATGCTTTTATCACTACATAAGTATATCAAACATAAATTTTGAGATCTAGTAGTGTTATTAGTTTTGCAGTAGTTTTGAAATTTCGTGGTTTTATTTATAAATAAATAACATAGTAAATATATAATAAATAAAGTGACCGAATTAATGCGAGAATGGTAACTTATTTTATTGTTAAAGTTTTTACTCCAAAAATCGGTTTACTTTGGTGAAAAATAAGAAATGAATGACAGTTATACATGTGTTCTAAAAAGAACTATAAACACTGCCTCAGCGTAGTTAAGGAGAGATCCGAACAATTTTCATTTTTTAAAAACAAAAGTTTACATTTTTAAACCATATTTTTTTATGTTTTCAATTTTTAACTATTGCTGTTATATATCTTTAAAAAGTGGAATTTAAGTTTTTCTTATATAATTTATTTTTTTATAAATCTTTTTTTAACCAAGCATCAAGCAAACAAAACTACCACTAAAATACATAAAACACGACGGAGCAGCGTCAAAAAAAACAGCTGAAACAAATGTGCTAAGTATTTACATTCCAAAAATGTCTCTTTTATTCGAAAGTAAAAAGACTTCTTGTTTACAACATTAAAATATTCAATAAATGACTAAAAACCTCTTATTTTATCTTTCCATAAACAGTAAAAACGTTAAAATCAAAGTTTTCACATTAGTTTTCACTCATAGCAATTTACTTCCATAATCTCTTTATAGTCGTTTGAATAAATTATTAAACTATTTTTACTATTTGTTGTCATAATATTTATAATAACAAATAGTTAAAAAATTATGACCATATAAAGTTTAAACCCCTCAATTTGAGGGGGTTGCAAACTTTATATGGTCATAATTTTTGAACACTAAAATATTTTACTATGAAATTTAAAATTTCTCAATGAATATAAGTCTAGTTGAAAATTGTACAAAAAATATTTCATCAACTTGTTGCTCTCACGTTTGGGGCAGGGGGGGGGCTAAGATTTTAGAGTTTTTTGTTCCCATTCTCCTATCACAGTAATTTTTTTTAAAGAATCTTTTCCTCGTACATCTTTTCTTCATACATCTTTTCTACATACATATGAACGTAAAAAAATTTGGAATATTCTTGTTTTTTATAAGTTGGTTATTTCAAACATTTAAAAACCTTCCTACGCCACTGATACATCCTCTGTTAAAATTAAATTAGTTTTTTTTCATAGCCGGTTGCAATGAGTGGTACACCTACGCTAAAGTTTAATGTCAATTGTAATTACTTTATTAACTCGAAGAACCTAATTAGAAAGTTAACACTCATCGTATTCCTTCCTCAACAAAACACTTAATACTTTCCTCTTTTTTAAAGAACTGAGGCTAACTTTTGCCAAAATACTCTACCAAGAATGATACAATCATTTAATCTCTTTGAGGTATACTTAGTAACTGCTTCTAGATTTTTTTTTAACTTGTTATTATTGATTTCTTAAAACGTTTTGTTTAGAAAGAGACTTCAGCTAAAACTTTTTTTTTAAAGCAATCTGTCGTTTTGATTACTTAAAACGTTTTGTTTAGAAAGAGACTTCAGATAAAAAAATTTATTTTCTAAAATGTGACGATTAAAAATCAAATTCATCCAATCAAAATTAGAATGTCAACCATAAAAAATTAACAAAAACTTAATTGTTTTTTGAACTTTTCTCGAAAAATTAATTAAGAATAACTGGTTAAACAAGAAATATAGAATTTTGGACCCCCTCGCCCCCCTCCTCCTCTCATTAGTATAAGGTATTCAATATATAAAATTTTGTTTCTAATATATACCATGCAAGTTATTTTAAATTGTTTATTTTAGGGCTTCTTTTATTGTTTGTCCTTGTTGCTACGGAAGTATCCGACCAACAGGAAATATTGTTTACCCAAAAAGCAAAAAATTTTCTTGCCTGACAAATGAACAATTCTTTTTACTAGCACGATCTGCTGATCATACCTCATCCGATGAACATACTTCATTAAACTGCCAAAATGCCTACTATAAGCAAGGTAAAAAAGGAATGTTGTTTGTTGACCACGACAGAGTTTTAGATGCAGAAACAAGAGCTTCTTATAAAACACAGATTTATTTAATGACACCAGAAAGTTGTTCACCAAAAAATAATATTTTATTTGGCTTTATTACAAATTAACGATTTGATTTATAACGACTTTTTTATGCGCCAATACGACACGTATCGCTAAATTGTTTGTATTCAAATTTTTAATTCAAATTCCTATAATTCGAGAAATCATTTAAATCGAACAAATTGTGTGGTTCCTTCAGGGTTAACTATTAACGGTTGAACTCATACTCGGCGTAGTTAAGGCAATTTTAAAATATAATGATATTTTGTTGACTATGGCATATTTCTCTTAAATGATCAGGTCTGTGAATTATGAAAAGACGAAAAAAATTAATATGATAAATTTTGCGTATCATAAAAAATAAATGTTTATAGCGAAAAAACCCAGACCGAAGGTTTTTTTTTTTTTTTAAAGAAAATCTTCTTTAAAACTCAACTGCTTGTCCAAATTTTAATAAGATTTTAAATCATTTTTTTAGTTAAATGAACATTATAGTTTAACTATGATCTGTTCTTAATTATAAGTTTTTTCTTGGTCGGAATTTTAGTATTTTTTTGTGAAAATTGATAGAAATATTGTGTTTTGACAACTATATATAGTTAATATACGTCAGAACCGATTAGAACTAGGATCAATAGTAAATTAAGGAACTTTTTCAAAAGATTTTAACAAAATTCATATTAACGCCGATGAGCGGAATTGATCTAAAGACTTCAAAATGGTGTTCTTTAGATTCACTATTATGGGTTTTAAAAGTTATATATAAAAAAAAAATTTCTTTAAATATTATAAAAACTTAAGCAACAAAAATTATAACAATTATAGATCTTGTTTGGACATAACACGGCGTTAACTTTAGTTCAAAAATCTCCCGATTGCCAGTTTGCGCGCGTTTTCACACTTACTGTCATAGTAAGTAGAAACCATGTAAAAATAACAGTAAAATTTTAAAAGACCAATCAATATCAAAAGATTTTGCGAGTGGTTTCTATCGGTACAGACATTTTGCGCTAAACTTATAAGAAAACAAAGCGTACTCAGGTGGTTTAAGGCCAGTCCAAATTTTTATAGTAGTTCGACTGACCTTCTACATGTTTTATTTAAATGAAACCGTTTTTCAAAAATTGTTGGCTGAACTGAATAATATCTAGCAAAAGTTGTCCCAAATAAAAAAAAATTTTATTGTGGACGTTATAAGGGTTGACGTAAATTGCTTTTAAACTAAAAAAAGAATATTTAAGAAAGTAGAAAGTAAAATCATTAGAGACAACTTTTCCAGTAATCTAAAGCCTAAAAGATATCCATATTGTATTCTATTATTGTTCCATAATTTTATTTAGATGGTCAGCTAGAAAACCCGACAACTTGTCATTTCTTTAAACGACGTGTAGGGAATGCGGTAATACTTTGCGATTTTATTATTTTAAGGCTTTTTGATGGCCGTAAAAACAAAAATGTTTATGCCGTGTGAAATAAAACGTGATGTTGAGATTTTATTTTATTTATTTATTTATATATATATATATATATATATATATATATATATATATATATATATATATATATATATATATATATATATAATGATTATATATATATATATTATATATATATATATATATATATATATGCATAAATTATATATAAATTTATTTGTATATATATGCATAAAATATATATATATATAGTTATTTGTATATATAGTTTATTATATATTATTGTATATATATATATATATATATATATATATATATATATATATATATATATACATATTTGTATATATATATATATAATTTATGCATATATATACAAATATATATATATAATTGTATTTATATGCATAAATTATATATATATATATATATATATATATATATATATATATATATATATTTCTATATATATATATATATTTCTATATATATGCATAAATTCTATATATATATATATATATATATATATATATATATATATATATATATATATATATATATATATATATATATATATATATATATATATAGATTAGAAAAAAAGGCACTTAAATAACTTGAGCTTCTACTCTTCGTTTCTCCTTCAGCATGAACATCAAGAAGCTTGGTGATCATTCTGAAAGAGAAACGGGGGAGAAGCTCAAGTTAGATAAGTGTTTCTTTACTAATTAATTATTGCTCTGTTCATTATGAACATTGAGCATTTTTTTGGAGAATACACTGACATAGTTGTGTCAACTATGTCAGTAGTTGACACAACTGTGTGTGTGTCAACTATGTCAGTTTAGTCTACAAAATGAGTGCTCAATGTTTGTAAAAAACAGAACAATAATAAATTAGTAAAAAAACACTTATCTAATTTAAGCTTCTTGTCAGTTTTTCTTTTAGAATGATCATCACCAGCTTTTTTAATTATAATATCAGGGTCCTGTATTATATATATATATATATATATATATATATATATATATATATATATATATATATATATATATATATATATATATATATATATATAATAATAATAATAATAATAATAATAATAATAATAATAATAATAATAATAATAATAATAATAATAATAGCAATAATAATAATAGCAATAATAATAATAATGATATTTAAATAAAATATATTGAAGTTGGAGAAAATGGTTTGGTCGTAACAAGAACTGAAGTATTGAAAAAAAAAGAAATGATTTAGATAGAAGTAAATAATTTAAAAGAGGTTTAAATTACCAGAAGAATTGAAGGAATTATAAAATTCAATAAAATTGTATGTAAAAAAGTATTCATATTTTTGACCCATTCAACAAAATTCTCTACAGGAAAAAGAAAGAGATTTAATAAAACATTTTGAAAGAACTTTCCCAGTAAAATAAACATTATTCAATGAGTTCATGGCTTTAAATATAAAGATAGTTGTAAATCAACAACAACAAGTACACCATCATTAGTTGAATTAGCAAGAAGTTCTAAACAGTTTAAAGATACTGGGAATTGTAGAAGTTTGTATAGATCCATACCAAAATAAATTGCAAAAAAAATTGCAATCAGTTTTAAAAAACAAAGTAATACTTGGTTTTGAAAATAAATAAGAGTTTCGCTTACAAAGGTTCATTATTGTCTATCCACACAGCAGACTCCAACATCAAAGGACAACATCAGAGCAACCTTGGAACATTTGACCATTACTCCGATGTTGCCGTAAAGATATGTTGCGTATAGTAATAGTTTCAATTAGAAAAAATACTATTAGATTATAATAATAAATCTTAGTTATTGTTATTATTTAAATTATCTCATTTATTTGTTAATATAATGATCCATCCAATCAATTGCTTTTGTATTAAATTGTTGTTTGTTTTGAAATTGTCTTAGTTAAAGTTGGATTTTTTCGCATCTGCAAATATTGTTAATTAAATTTTGTCTATGCGATATATTTTTTCACATTAAAATTTATTTTGGTTTGCTATTTTTTATTTGTTAGTTTTTACTCACTTAAATTCTAAACTTGACAAAGAAAGTAATTTTTTTTAGATTGCTTAAGAGCAATCTCTGTTTGATATGAAAAAAAATATTCACCAAAATAGTTATTAAGATACTAATTGAATTAGTGAAGTCTCAAGAACACCTTAACAATTCCTGATTTTAAATAGACACTTGGGTGTGGTGACACTTTTTTGACCTTTTACTTTATTCCACCTGTAAAAACAATACATTACTGTATTAAGCAGCGGCGCCAATAGAATTTTTTGATGTTTAAGATGGGACACTTTCACACATTGTGTAAACTCCTAACTTAAGTATGTTTATACCTATGCTAAATAGGAGGCCTTGCAAAAAATCGGGATGGCGGAGGTCTGCAAACAAAAAAGCCCCAAAACGTTTGGCCCCCCTACCCAAATGTGGGGCACTAATGAGTAAAATTTTTAACGTTATTATCTTAAACTAATTTAAATTTATCGACAGATTTTAAATTTCGTAAAAAAATATTGTGAATTACAAAAGTTATGACTATCCAAAATTTACAACCCCTTCTTTTCTTTTTTTTTTTTTTTTTAAAGGGGGGGGTGGGGGTGGAAAATTTGCTTGATCATAACTTCTGTAATTTACAATATTTTTCTACAAAACTTAAAATTTGTTGATAAACTTAAATTAAGTTTATAATAGTAAAGTTTATAAAGTTGAAGATTTTACTACAATAGTGCCCTCACATTTGGGCAGGGGGGCCAAACGTTTAGGGGCTATTTTGTTCCCAGGCCTCCTCCATCCCGATTTTTTGCAAGGCCTCCTCATTCGACATAGGTATAAACATTCTTAAGTTTGGAGTTTGCACAATGCGTGAAAGTGTCCTATCTGAAACATCAAAAAATCCTATTGGTGCCCCTAGTATAAAGGTTATTCATATAGCCATTAATATATAGCACTGATTAGTATAGTCAATTTACATAATGCGGATCACTTAATTTTTTTTTACGATTATCGATAGAGTAATAAATTAGTAAACAATTTTTTGAGTTACTATTTGCTTAATAATAAAAGTTAAACCAAAATTAGGGCAATAGATACATTTCTTATCAAGATGTCGAAAGTTTTTGAGTGCTTTTATATGAGAGCTAAAATTTTAAATGGTTTAGAAGAAATCCATTATACTCGGAAACACAAAAGATATGAGCATTTTATTAGTCAATTCCAGCACATCATAATTAACGAAAAATATTTCCATAAAAAATCGCATGATTTTGACAACATTTCTAAAAAAGCATGTATGTGGTGGTGACGAAAGAACTAAATTTATAAAACGCTATTCCCAATATGAATGGCAAAAATTGGATCCTTTCATACAAAAAGAACACACGCTTAATGGTTGCTGCTTATGTAAAAAAGATAAAAATCCAGAAAACGTTTTTCCAAGTTCTGTGATTCATCGGCCAAAAAAGTCAAACTCACCACTTAGCAATATAGCCAACATTTTCACAACCGACTCTCAAGCGCGAAATAATATTTTATCTTTCAAGAATTCAAACGTTGCTCCTCTGTCTTTTTCAAAAATTGATATTCCTTTTACTAAAAACTCACTTCCATACATGAAAGAAACATGTAAATCGGTTTTGGAAAACATCAACACATCTTGGAATTCTTTATATGATACGCCGTTTTTAAAGGTTTTGTCAAAATTACCCTCAACCAGTTTAGTTGAAAAGTTATCTTCTGCAGATAAAAAAAAAAAACTTCGAAAATCCCACAGGAAGTTAAAGGCGACAATTGAAAATCATTGGGAAAAATATAGCAAAGATACCAATACATTGTTTGGTGTTCATCAATCAAGATCAGCTTATTTAAAGATTCGCTCAAGCCTTCACTTTGAATCTAAAAAAGATGCTGTTAAACGAACGACATGCTTTACGAGTAAGTTTGATGCAATATAAATTGGATATATCGATGCAATGATATATTTATGATACAAAATTTTATTTTATTTGTTTTGTTACTTTTAATCATTGTGTGATTATTATTGATGTGATTTAAGTTACATTTTCTCTTTACGTTATTTTATTTTTACTATATTTGAAAATTATCCCATATTGTTTGTCTGATTTCAATTGAGTTCACAATTTAGGCAATGCTATTGGTCAAAAGAGAAAAAGGCATTCACCGAACCCTAACAACATTGATTTCAATAAAGTTGAAATGTTAAATGAAGTACAGAAAATGAAAAAAGGCTCAGAAGTATAACAAATAAATTTTTTTTTTTAATTTAAAATAAAAAAATGTAAATAAAAACAATGAAATAAAGAGATTACTAAAAATCTGCATTCTATATAAAAAATAAAACTAAGTATATATGAAATTAAAAGCATTAACTATTTTAGATTAATCTCTCGGCTCTTGCAAAGAAATACAAAATTGATGGATTAAACGGTAATATGGTTGTCCGTGAGTTCTTGGAACAAAATAATGTTGATATAACCGCCTTTAGTAGTACTAAACTTAATAAAACTAGAGAAAGAAGAAAACTCAATAAACTATCAGGTATACTTGTAAAATAAATATCAGGAAACATAATAAGTAAATTTAGGTTTGAAAAATATTTTGTGTGCTATTTTATGTGCTAAAATTGAGCATTAGCTCGGGGCTTAGTGATATAACTAATTTTGTCTTCTTCTAGCCCGGGTCATAGAATTAATTTGGACATAAATTATAAATAAACAAATTAAAAAAAAAATAAAAGTCTTTATATTTTTTGTGCTTTAGAATATAATGAATTTTTCAAACTTTTTGAAACTTTTAGCTCTCAAATAAAAACAATCAGGAGCTTTGATAAATCTTTATAAAAGAATATTTTTTATACATTTTCATTATCTATATTAAGGAAAATAGAACCAAAGAAAGTTTTTCACAAGTTCATTGTTTAAGAGTTAGAGGTAAAGTTTTGATTGATCAACACAACACTAAGTAGTTAGGATATAACTCAGTACACTTGTATTTTTAATAACTAAGTCCAGTTGAGGATTTTCATTGACGGCAATACTAGAGTTGGTTACTAGTTATCTTAGTTATTGTTTTTACCCAGCCGGCACAACTCAGAAAATAGTTACGCTTGGTTTCTGTTGCGTTTTTAAAACCTTCTAAAATAAAAAGAATAACACGTATCAAAAATGGTTTTTATTCCGTGAAATTAACTATTACTATTTACCATAAATACCAGTTAAAGTATTAATGGTTTCACAGTTATGAAAACGTAGTATCATATTGTAATGACTTTCCGTAAGGAATGTGAAACCAATGATAAAAACATGCGACATTTAAATTTGACTTTAAAACCTCAAAAAACACGTATTAAACTCTAGTAAAACTACCCGTAATAACACGTGCTTTTGGTTTACGCCTGGATCGTGAAAAACGCGTGCCTATATAGGTTTTATTTCCGAAAAAAAAACTAAATGTGCCGATAGGGTAATAACTAACCAGTCCTCCCTCATGCAACATTTCATCTAGGCTCTGCATACAATAATAAAATCGTTAAACTTTATAAATAACAACGTACCATTATTCGAATTTTATGTTTTATTTGCTTGATAATTTAATCAATATTGATTGTAAAATATAAACGACATTAATAAGATAAGATAATATGACACCCGTCTTCTATTTGCTTTGGTCATATCATTTACGTTTATAATGTAAAACCTTATATTGATAATGACGAATAAATACATAATTTTGATTTTACAAATTATTGATTTTTATTAAGAAATACTTTTTTTTATGTAGGCAGTGGAATATCTGTGCCAATCCCACGTTCATTTAAAAAGATTAAAGAAGATTTAAATCAAAATATCACTTCTGGAAAATACATATTAGAAACATTGATTGAACCTAAAATATATTCATCAATTTCTACAGATAAACATGGAAAAATAGAAATTTCCAAATCTTCTATTTCAGGTAGAAAGATTTCATTGCATGAATTACGCAAAAAGATTTTTGAAAATCATATATCGCAAAAAATTATTCGAGAAAATCCGACAGGAATATATAGCAGAAATTTGATAATTTGGTCAGATCATGCTTCAATTTTAAACTCGGGTCACTTATTACTCACTGTCAAACCAATTTATGATGATGAACTGTACTAAAATGATAAAGAAATGTTTGACAAAACTGGTAACCATTACAATGTCCAAGAGTTGATGGAAACTCCTCATTTGTACATATTTGGATGCATAAATGACACAATTGCAGGGAAACTGTCTTATGTAGAATCTAGATTAGAAGATATTAAAGATTTGCATATTCCCATAAAAATTAACGGAAAAGAAATTCATGACGTCTTAAGATTTTTTCACGGTATTAATTCCAAAAAGTAGTCACTTTTTACATGACGGAAAGCAAAATGGCGAGGAGAGAGAATGGGGGAATTTTATTCAAGATGTAGAATCTTGAATGAAATTGGAACTTGGCAGTTTTTTTAAAATTAAGATTTTAATTTTACTGCACTTTTTATGTATATCCACAAAAATGAAGAATTATGATTTTTTCAGAGATATTTTGCTTAATTTAACTTTTCCAGGGAAAAAAATTCGGGTAGAGATAAATATGAAAAACAGTACTTAAAATTCAACCCTGTTATCAGTTGTACTTTAATGTAAATTTAGACATGAAATGTTGAAAAAAGTTTTTTTTATTTAGGTGATCATCCAGAAATCCAATTTGAAGCTGGAAATCTTCATGGTGGTTATTATCCATGCTTATGTGGGTGTAATGTTAATCAATTTACAGATTTACCAATTGTTTATTCACATGACATCATATCATTAGAAGATAGAAGGAGAAAAGTAATGTAACATCACTTTTAATTAAGGTTCTCACGCACCCAGTTTTGTGTATTATACACATTTCGATATAAAAATAAGTTAATTTTTCTCTTACTATAAAATTTAGGCAAAATAATTACATTTTAAACATATCTGATCTCACGAGACACAAAACCACAATCATGACCTCAGTCACGAAAATATGCTTATGAGTCCCCTATGTATAATTTATGATTTATGGAACTTTCAGTTTAGGGGCCTATACTGGTCAAACGGTATCAGATTCAAGGGCAATTTTAGAAATAAAAAGAGGAAAAGGAGAGAAGGGGGGGGGGGGTTTAATTCTTAAAAAGTTCTGATTACCTTCTAAAAATAAAATTTTTTTAAAAAAATGTCCTCAAAACTTAAAATCTACCCAGTGGAATGTGTAAAATATCAACTATATTCCTGAAAAATTGACAGCAAATTAAATATGAAATTCTTAAATGGAGGTTTTTCCCAATTTCAAGGGTATGTGTGTGTGGGGAAGTATGACCTCCCCACACACACCCTTGAAACCGCCCCCAATAAGATTAGGTCCTACTTACATATTACTTTCATTACTTACATATATGAAATAAATAATAAATAAAAAAAAATCACTTCATCACTTTAAACTATTTATACATTTGAAATTACATTACACTATTATTTTGAGTTAAACAATATATGCTTTATTTGGTTAAAATGCGCTTTTCATTTCAAAATATTTCAATACTTTTATATATCACTAACTGTAAATTTTAGGTTGTTATTGGTCCTGCAGGCAAAACAGCAAAAGCAATAGCTCCATTTTAAAACCTTAGCATTTCCGAACTTGAATTGGAAATATCCATTCGAGAATTAAATAAAAATATTGGAGTGAAAAGAACAAAAAAACAATCTGAACAACTTCTGAAGCAAAATCTTTCTGGTGTTTCACGAACTCCAGCTCTTTGCTTTGGCAATGAGTTAAACACACTTGTTTTGTCAAATCTACACAACTATGAGGTCAGTCCTATAGAGCCACTCCACGACTTTAAAGGTCATATAAAAAATATTTGGGATGTTCTACCTGAAATACTGAACTTTTCAGAAAAAAAAGTATTCAACGATTGCCTTAAACTGTGTTTTGGTGAAAAGGACAATGTACGAGGGACTGATTATAGGTTATATTCAATTGTTGTATACAATTCCTTAAAAGAGATCTGTAGACCAATTGTAAAACTATTTTTGCAAAATATCATGGAATTAGTCAAATCTGCATATTTACCATCACAAAACAGATCACCAAAGGCAATCCTTCGATTATATAACTTAGCATTTCAACATATCCTTCTTTGCCGCTTAGTAATCGGAAGTAACCCTAATAAAATTACCAAGAACAAACTGAATGGTATATACTATCATTCAATCACAAAACATTTACCAGAAGTTGCACGCATTATTTCCCCAAGTTCACTGCATACTGAAAATGAAGAGCAGATGTTCAGCAAAATCAAGCAAATTAGTTTAAATACTTCTTCAAGAAAACTGGAATCAATATGTGATAATAGTATCATTCGAATTCAAGCAGAAAAAATATTTTTAGAAGATATTAATTATAATAAATTGAGGCCATGTACAATTTCTAAAATAACAAAGTTTAGCAAAGCAACAGGTAACAATAAAATTTATACTCACAATTTATATGTATATATTATGTATGTATATATATATATATATATATATATATATATATATATATATATATATATATATATATATATATATATATATATATACATATATATATACATATACGTATATATATATATATATATATATATATATATATATATATATATATATATATATATATATATATATATATATATACATATATATATATATATATATATATATATATATATATATATATATATATATATATATGTATATATATATATATATATATATATATATATATATATATATATATATATATATATATATATATATATAAATATAAATTTATAAAAACAAAGAAAATACAACTTAATATATATGTGTGTGTTTGTGTGTAAGAGCGACTCTGTGTAACAAAGTAATAACAATAATTCATTTAATTATTAAGATCCATCAGAACCTACAAAGTTTTCTATTTATGAAAAAGAATTACAATTCCATCTTGAGAGAATAAGTGATTTTATGCTGTGTGGTAGAGGAGTTTGGTGGCATTTAGAAAAAAGCAACATTGTTTTTCATGATGGAGAAAGTGATCCCGATTATATGGATATAGGTCCAGATTTAATGAATTTTAACAAAAACAATATACAGTCAATAAAATTAAATTTAAAAAGTTGTTGGGAAGCTTGTATTGCAAAGAAGGTCAACTTGCCCCTTGATCAAGTAAATTGGTTAATGGATGTAAATAATGCTGAAGAACCTATTTCTAAATACCATACTTGATTCAAATAAATTTTTGCAAATTAAATCTAAATATTACAAAAAAGAGTTTTTGATATTCATAAATTTGTACAGTAATTGTATTTATTTTACTTGCATAATTCAACAAAAAATATTTTCGAAGCAACTACAAAGTTTACCTTAGAGGAAATACTTTATTTTATTTATTTTTACTTTTACTCTTAAAATATAAAGAATACTTCAATTTATGTAATCAAATTTTTATATATATATATATATATGTATATATATGTATATATATATATATATATATATATATATATATATATATATATATATATATATATATATATATATATAAAATATATATATATATATATATATATATATATATATATATATATATATATATATATATATATATATATATATAATAAAATGCAACCTGATATTACACTGATGATCTTATAGACAAGTTGAAGAAAAAATATTAGATCAATATTTTTAACCAATTTATTAATGGTCAGTTTATTAAGAAATTTGAGCATTCTATTTGTAAAATATACTAACATATATATATATATATATATATATATATATATATATATATATATATATATATATATATATATATATATATATATATAAATTTGATTAATAAAATTTATTTATAAAGATTTTCATTATCAGATGTATACTATATGTAGAATATTATTACAGGGTAATAATAAATGATAGAAAAATTCAAACTTGATATGGAAGTTAATATAATATTATGTAGCAGTATTATAAAATAACATTTACTATAAATTCAATTCAATAATTATATTAGATTACATATTATTTATAACTATACACTATTTATTATAATATACTATAATATGTATATAGACTTCCATAATCAAACTTGTATCTTTTTATCGTTTATTACTGCTCTGTTCTTTAAGAACAATGTAAACAAAAACACTGCTCAATGATTTTGTAGAACACACTAAAATACTATTTACATCCAATTTAAGCTATCTATAACCAATTAAAAATATCAAGATTTAATTTATAAGCAATGTATTTGTTATATTGTTCACAATGTTCACATTGCAATGTTATAAATTCAAAATAGCGAAAGAAACTTTTGATGTCGGACTTTTAAGGTCAAAATATCATCGATATAATTTAAATTAGCGTTTTGGAATTCTCCCGCGAGATATGAACGATAAAAAGCCACGTCACCCGCACACAAACGAAAGAAACCCGAAATTTACGGAGACTGGCCTAAACTACCTGAGTATGTTTATGTACCTCATCCTACCATTTTTTAAATTATGCCTTGAGGTTATACTTTCACATTGATAACATAATATCAAATTGATATTTGTAGAAAAAATATTACAAAAACTGGACACTCCAATTATAATTGTACTTCTGAATAAAAATTAATTATTAAAAATCTAAGAATCTATATGTAAAATAATTTTTTAAACTTAAAATTTTGTATAACACCAAAATTTAAATCCAAAAATCTCCAAAAATAATTTAAAGAAATTCTGAAATACAAGTAATCTGATTAGTAAATAAAATTCTTCAAAGAAAATTCTTCAAAGAAAAAAATTCTTCAAAAAAAATGCTGCTATAAAAATTAATTTAATTGGTTTGTAGTTCTTTTGATTTCGTTGCAAGAAAGTAAGACGTCAGGTACAGCCTGCCAATACCTAAAAAACAAAAATAAAATTTTACTACTGTCCTATCAATTTATCATACATGTTCTATTTTCATCCAATTTGTAAATTCTATTTTATAAATCTACACACACTGTAATTTGCATAGCTTTTTGAACAGCCAAGCTTTAGATGTATTGTGGATTAAATAGGTAACCATAACTTAATCTTAAACTAATAGAATAATTTATTCTTAAACGAATATAATAACTTTACCTTAACCAATAGAACTACTATATATATCTACACCTTAATTTATTAAAAAAAAGAAATAGCATAACATAAGGAAAGATGCCATCTTATTGATATTTTTTACAGGTAATATTTCCAAAAACTAGTAGAAATAAATTTTGAATATCTTATCTTTTTTATGAAGGTTATATAAAAATTGAGATATAATCAAAATGCAAAAGGATTTTCAGAAATAAAATGAAGCCAAAAAATTTGTTGCTTGTACATTCTTTTTGATGTTTGTCAGCATAATTTTTTTAATAAAAAGTCATAAAACTGAGCAACCTTGCAAGTCATTACATCTCTGATACCTATTTTGAAATTCACAATACTTAAAGTAATCTTTTTGTGACATACAAATCCTGAGTCCTTTTAATACTCCACATCCCTACTTGGATCATGGCTTTACTTAGATAACCTTAACACAAACATCAAGGTTTTGAATAAGCTAATACCTTATATCAGATTACTATAACCTCATACAAAGTATATCTGATACCTTACCAGAAGTTTATCAACTTTGAAAAACAACCTTACAAATTGTTTTGGTTTTTGAACATGCAACATATAAATGGATATTAATGAATATAAATGAGAGAAACACAGTTTTTTAAGATATACACCAACATTTGTATAAAAAATCAATAATATAAAACATTTATATCTGTAAAAATAGAAAACTTGTGAACACTTTAGTTCATTACTTATTTAATGTAACAAATAGCTGTTTGAATATACTAATTATAATTCCTAAATTACTTTTTTGTAGCTGTTTACACATTTTATTCACAGTAGTACCAGTCTTTGCATTACTAGAGGTCTTTCAATAATTTCAATAACACCGTTGTAATCAATAATAAACTTGTTTATCAACTTAATAATAACTTAATAATAAGCTAATAATATGTAACCAAGTAAAATATTTATCCTTCATAAAAATATTTAATGAAGTTACAATACAAGTATACAAAAAAAAAAAGCAGAATAAAATCCAGACAAATTTAAAATTTAATAAACATAACTTTGAAATTCACAAATATGGAGTAAAACAGAAAACAAAAATATAAAAGTAAAAATAATAACTAATATAAACGATAAAAAGATAAAACTTGGAACTTCAAAAACTTTCAAGCATTTTTTTTTCATCTCAAAGCCTGCTTACCTCAGCCAAATAAAATAAAAAATAATATTCAGTGTGTTTAAATATTCTAATAACACAATAATGTAAAATAAACATAAACTTACTTCATAAAATGTTCTGAATGCATTTCTCGATTAAAGATGGACAATACTGATGTGTAGCCTGTCACACGTTGCAAGTTAAGATATTTGTAAACATTTTTTTATATTGTTTTATATATATATATATATATATATATATATATATATATATATATATATATATATATATATATATATATATATATATATGTATAAATATATATATATATATATACATATATATATATATATATATATATATATATATATATATATATATATATATATATATATATATATATATATATATATATACCTAATAATAAATATTATTTTCATAAAATATATTTTTTCAAATATAAAATCAAAACTTTTTTTTTTAATGTTAAGCGAGAAATAAATAAAAATTCTATAACATTTACATTTAACATTCAAGATAAAGTCTTAAAAAATAGTTTGTTTGTTTTTTAATCAAATAATAAAAAAATATTTTTTAAAAATGGCTGCCAGTTTACTGAAAATTAGTTAAAAAGTCACATAGAAACATCAGAGATAAACTCATACTTATCTTTTACTCCATTTATAAAAAAATTCCACAAATGGTCCTTAGTGTGTTAGGTCCATATTTAGTTGGAGATTTTAAAGTTAATTCATTATTTTAGGTTTTAAGACTTTTTGAAAATCAAAAATGTCAATTTTTATAAGAAAAAATAAGATATCTCAAGATATATTCATTAACTTTCAAAATCTCTAGCTAAAAAGAAAGATATTAATGTAAGTATCAATTTCAAATGTAAAACTGTGTGTATAGAAGAGTTAACATAGTGGTTTATCGAGCATCTTTTTGTAGACTTATTTATTATGATTAAAATAATACGAAGGTTGTGTAAAAATACATATATTCTTTTATGAACAAAAAATATAACTCCTATTTCAACATATTAACACATAAAAACATTCAACTTCAGACCAATTAAGCCATGATCCTTGGTTACTTAACTGCATATTTTAGTTTAGACTGAACCAAACGTAAAAATATTCCAGTCTACACGACATTTAGTTTTAATAGTCGCGCGAGCAATTCGCGCTGAAAGATTTTTGGACAAAAATTAACGCCGTGTAATACGCGGATAAAATCATGCTAATTCCAAATAAAAGAATTTGAATAATTTGTAAATCGTTTTAACTACACCGAGTATAGTTCAAAAAATTTTCGAATATATTTTGAGATCCCATGAGGATTCGAATTACACGAGTTCAACTATATGTACCTAGCATGGACATCTTCATACTAACAGGCCGTGTAAACGAACAATTTGTGCGATAAACTGAGGGCCAGAGTTAAGCAAAAGTTAAAACGAGAAATTGAATATAGATTCTGAAATATATATAACTGAAGAGTGATAGAAACTTTTTTTCAAAGGCAATCTTTATACTAACATTATATTGTATAAGATAAAAACTTATCGATTGTTTTGTATGTGTTATTTATAGTTATTATTAAATTTATAAAATGCCCAAGAAATGTTGTGTAATGAGTTGCAATAGCAACTATAATAAAGAAAATAACGAAAAGGTGTTTCGGTTACCAACTGATAAAGAAGAACGTGCTCGATGGATTTCTAAAATACCACGGGATAATATACCTGATAGTAACAATACTGTTGTTTGTGAGCGTCATTTTCCACCCAGTTATATAACAATAATAAAGCATGGTAAAAAAAGACCTCGTGACCCACCTTCACTATTTTTTTGTGTGAAACCAAATCTTGTTCCTAAAAAACCTGGTCCATCTCGAAAAAATAAAACTTTGTCTGAAGCGCGCAATAAAGTTCCAGATGAAATTTATCTTTTCAATCATCAAGATAAAGTAGCCAATTTTGAGTATCTTAAAAATAAGATTGAAACTGGCAGTCTTGACTTTTTGATCCACTCTATTTCGTACTTTACTAACAATACATTATGCATAAAAAATAGAGTTTTAATAAAAATTAAGAATGATTTGACTTTTGAAGGATTTTTTGTGGTATAAAGTATACAATCCAAAGTTTATCAAAAAATGGAGTAACCAAGTTAAAATCATATTCACACCTTGAAGAATGCTGGAGATACCTTAATACTTAAATAAAAAGCAACAAAGTTAATGTACTTCAGGAACATTTTGATGCAATGAGTCCTGTTATCGTTGGAAAAAAAGTATAATCCTGAAACAATTATTCGTGCTTTTGAATATTATTCTTTATCTAGATCGCTATATGACAGACTGAGACTACCAACTTTCAAGTAATTTACTTCTTCAAAAAATTACATCAAAAAAAATTCTTCTTTTGACGAATTAGAATACGTCAGTGAGATTGTTAAAAAGGCAAAAAACAGTTATGAAAAAAAATGTATTTTATTAATAGATGAAGTCTACGTAAAACCTTCTCTTACACATTGCTCTGGGTCTTTATTAGGAAAGGCTGTAAACAAACCTGATTCATTAGCATCAACTGTTTTAAGTTTTATGATGGTTTCAATTTGTGGTGGTCAAAAATATTTATGTCGTATGTTGCCAGTATTTGAACTTAATGCTGATTTTTTATTTGAGCAGGTAAATCATTTGATTGGTTGTATTCATAAATCTGATGGAGAGTTAATTACTATCATTTGTGATAACAATCGTACCAACTAGTCTTTTTATTCTTAGTTTACATGTAGGGAGGCATGGAGAACAGAAAGTAATACATTTTTACTTTATGACTTTGTCCATTTAATAAAGTCAGTGCGAAACAACTGGCTAACTGAGAAAACACAAACACTAAATTTTGAAGATAATGCTGAACTGAAATCAGCTTTGTGGTCTGATTTAAAACATTTACATGAAACTGAAAAAGTAAGTTTAGTTAAACTTAACGATGCAGCGGTAGCCCCAAAACCCATTGAAAGATAAAAAGTATCTACTTGTCTCCGCATATTTTGTGAAGAAACATTAGCTGCGCTCAAGACATTTTTTTTTTTTTTTTTTTTTTTACCATATAAATTTATTCAAGTCGTAAAGCATAACATCACCAAGCTCGTTAATCTATACCGTAAATGAATCGGTAAATGTTAAAAGGGCAGAAGTCCTATTATGAAAACTTTTATGTAACTAAAAAAAACTGCATTGTCCCCATAGTAAATTTTTGTTAATGGCTTAATAATTTTTTTTCTTTTAAGAGAATAATGTTTTTCTCTTTCAAAAAAAAATATTAATGAACCATTAATATAAATTTACTACATTGGAAAATGCAGTTTATTTTAGTTTCCCGAAAGTTTTCATTATTGGACTTCCGCCCTTTTAACATTCACCGATTCAAATATAAAATAGCGTAATAAGTTAAAAAAAAACGTAACACAATATAATATAAAACACTTTCTTAAGGTTTTATAAATAAAAATAATAGTTCTTAATGTTCTTTAACTTTAACTTTTTAGTTTTGTATTGGTTATGAAAAATTTAAATACAAATTTAAAGAAAAAAAAAAAAAAGAAAAAAAAAAATGTCTAGCATAATAAAAACTCTATTATTAAAAAGCATACAGGCAAATACGCATAATCCTAAAGCTTTCCTTTTACACCAGCAGATACCTTAAATCAGGCCCGCCGCGTCCCTTTATGACGCCTGGAGTCAAAATTTATCTAGCGCTCTGTCATATTGACCTAATCAAAAAAAAATTTAGGTACTGTCCAAATGCTAAGTTTTTTTTTTTTTACTTTTTAAAACCCACTTTAAGAGGCCGAGAAGGTAATTACAGTCGAGAAGGCTTCTATATATTTTTTAAATAAATTTAAAATAAAGGTAAAGAAAGAAGCACAAGTTGACAAATGAACTTTATTATATTGCGAGCAACTGTAAATTTTAAATGTAATAGATATTTTAAATGCTTTATAAGAATTTGACTCTCCGGGCTTTATTTAAAGCAAAATTTGCAATGACCTCGTCGTAGCACAGACTTTGTGCTAGATCGTGCTCAATAGACATAACTAAGAGATTGGTAAGCCGGTCTTGACTCATTGTAGATCTTAGTGTTGTCTTGACTAGACCAAGCTTGCTGAAAGACCGCTCTCCTTCGGCGATGGAAACGGGAATTGTGTTAAAAATACGTAATAAAATGCATGTTGATTCGAAGATAGACTCTAGACCTTTTTGATAGGTTCCATTTAATAGTTTCATTGAAGTGAGATATTCTTTTGGACCGAAAAGATTGGCACGCTTCAGAGTATCCAGATGACGGACCTCTAAAATAAGTTTGTCTTCATCTAAATCGTTCACATACATTTGCGCCAAAGTTTTACATTTTTCCTCCAGGCTAGGTTGTTCAATTTCTTTTTCCTCACTCGACCTACTATTAGATTCTGAGAGCCATAGAAAAGAAAAACTTTTAGTTGTCTTTTCTGCAGCTTGAAATCTGTATTTTATTTGTTGAATTATTAAGAGCGGTGTTGAATACATTCATCTCAAACTGCTTTTCATCGTTTTCTAAGAAATGAACTTCGTTCCTTACTTCTACGTTAAACGTTTTCCTCTTTCTTATCCTTTTTTGAACTAGTTTTGACTAAAACCCATAACTAGCTAGACCGGAGGCAACTAAATGTGCTTCATTAATTAATTCGGGCCAAGAAGATCTAAGTCTAGTAAGATCCTCAATAAGAATCTTCATAAGTTTCATCTCATCATCTAAAGTAATGTTTTCTGATTGAAATGACACGCTGACATTTCAATCAGAAAACATTTGAGTTTATTATCATGAAATCTTTAGATAAATGGATTCAGTCATTTGAGTTTATTATCATGAACCAGAAGGTTGTCATGATAATAAACTCAAATGACTGAATCCATTTCTCTAAAGATTTTACGTCAATCAATAGATCAGCAGTTAAATCAAGATCACGAAGTTTCAGCAAAGATAAAAGAATTTCTCTGGGTCGCTTAACCAACGGCTTCGCAGCCTCAATGCGTGCACTCCATCGGGTTTGTGAAGTTTGATGTAGAGACAAACCAGTCGTCTCGGTCAAGATTTTCCATCGTAAGGGCTTCCACTAAAAAGATTGTAGAGTAACTGAATACGATCAAAATAGTTCTTCATTTCTACAGAAGATTCAAGAGAATGAACACCAGCTAAATTAAGGTTATGAGTGCTGCACGGCATGTAGAAAGCTTGAGGATTTCTCTGAAGAACAATCGCTTGTACTCCTTTGTACACACCAGACATATTAGCACCGTTGTCATATCCCTGACCTCGACAGTTCTTCAGATCAATGTCATTTTGATCTAAGACATCTATAATTAGCTTAGCAATATCCACACCTTTCTTTTTATTGAGACTTTCGACCCCAAGAAAGCGCTTCTTAACTACCTATTTTTTATCAATACCATAGCAGACAAAGCGGAGAACAAATGCAATTTGCCCAGTATGAGAGACGTCAGGCGTTCCGTCGTCAAGAATAGAATAGTAAATTGCCATATGCGCCTCTTTAATGATGGCACCGTAGACGATTCTTCCGCACTCTTTTATAAATTCATTTTGAGAACTCCAACCCAAATAATGCGCAAGAATTTGTTTACCTTCTTGTTGGCAGCGAGAAATCTCTTCTAGATGTAACTGAAGAGTCTTGTTGTGCTTTGCAAGTAGCTCTAGAGTTGCAAGAACGTTGCCGTTATCGTCATCACTGATCATTTTTGATGAGCCTAAAATATCGATTTTAATTACACATATAAATCATGACTTTCTGTTTAATTATAGTAAAAATAAATTATAACGTAAACATAAATATAATAATTAATGTTCACAAATATACCTCTGAAGCTAAGGTTGCGTGATGCTAAGAAAAGAATTACATCTAAAATGCACTTTAAAATTTCACGCCACCTGGCTGCCTCATTTCTTATCAATTTTTCTAAACTTGAATCAATCCCACATCGATTTCCCAAGCTTTCCAGCGCTGTTTTCCACTTAATGTAATTGTCTTGATGGTGAGGATTGTTTTGGTGGCCTTTTACTTTTTCAGCTAGCTTTCTCCAGTTTTCATTGATGCCACCATTCCAACGTAGAAGATGTGAATTATTACCAGCCCCGCAGGCTTGTTTGCTTCCGAAAAGTGAGCTCGGAAAGCAAAGAAATGATTTTGAAGTTGCACTCCAAACAAGCCAATCTCTGTTTATTTTCTCCCCATTACGAGTTATTTCGTGGAAAACTGATTCAGGAACCTTAATCTTGTTTGAGTCTCTTGGAAAAGATAAAAGATTTTTAGGAGGCTCCTGAAGAACAACTGCATCGCGTTCTACTTTGGACATATTTTCAGCCCACAAAGCAGGATCGTTTGTATTAATTGCCTCACCCAACTTATCTTTATGCTAATAATTTAAATAAAGATTTTAATAAGTATATAATTTTCACAAATTCACAAAAATAATTAAAGAATCTTTCCGAAGCAAATTTTACCAAAATATTGTTTTCATTTTCAACTCTTGTTGCCACGTGCCACTCGAAGGAGGAAGTGGTTCTTCTGAGTTCAACAAAATTTTATAAGACTCGTTTTCAAAGCTATCCTATAGAAAATAAAGTAAAATATTCAAAAATGTCTTGGTTTATATAATAATAGTATAATAGGAGGGGTATATATAAAAAAGAAGGTTATGTTTAGATAAATGAACTTACTATTCCAAAAGCTTGACGTGATTGAGAGGAATTTATAGATATCAATCTGGTAACTGTAGGCCTATCCCCATCATTTTTTTTAACTTGTATACCACAATCTTTGAGTGTACGTTTATTTTTTTTGCTCATTTGCTGTCCTATTTGCCGCATTTTTTCTGTTTTGACAGCCAGAATCTTTTTCTTGAAACTGAACATGTTTTGTTTTTAAGAAAGTGTTGAACTTGATTGAAAACTATTTTTATGATACTTAGTAAAACTATATTAAATGTAAGAATCTCAATTATACAATGTACATTAACCTTATCTATCTATCTATCTATCTATCTATCTATCTATCTATCTATATATATATATATATATATATATATATATATATATATATATATGTTCTTTATAAACAAAGCAGCTCTTACGAATATTTTCCCGCATCGGTTTTGACTAGACTCAGACTCCCGCATATGAGTTCGACTAATGCTGTATTGTCGAGTTAACAATACATTTGAAACTTATATTTTAAAATTAGCAGTTTGAAGAGTTATTCATTGAAGCCCTGTGTATCTATTTTATAAAAAAAAAATTATCATTTGAGCGCCCCTTACGATCCTGCGCCCAGGTAAAAAGTACCCAGTGACCCCCCCCCCCACGCGGCGGCCCTGCCTTAAATTATCTGAAGAATATTTATAAATCATAAGTTTTTATAAAAGAAGAAATGAATCAGTAACAAGTAACACGATCCTTTCTAAGATCGTCAAGCTGATAATGACAAACCTCTAATTACTTATTAGTAGCAATCATTAATACTTCAGAAAAAGCTGAGCGTTCATCAATAGTTTTTGCTTCAATTTGTTTTTAAACTCATTAAGCGTTGTAATTGATTTAAGTTCTTTTGTTAATATTTTGTTCCAAAATTTTGGTCCTCTTGTAGAAATTGAAAATTCATTCGCCGCAAAATACCTTTTGGGTTGAATGTAACTGTTATTTGAAAATCTGGTTAGATATCTGTTCTGATTTATTTTGAATAGAGGGTTGAATATTTTCGGAGATATATTCTTAATAATTTTGAACATAAATATAAGAAGATGATAGATATTTATTTGGTAGACATTCATTATATTCAAATTAACAAACAATTCTTGGGAATGTGTAAACATTTCCTACACTGGAAATGATTCTGATTGCATGTTTTTGTTTGTTAAATACTTTTTTAATTTTATTTTTATTTGTACTGCACCAAGCAATGTTTGCGTAATTAAGAATGCGTAATGAATGATTGAGAAATATAAAAGCTTTAAGCGAGTTGGATTTAAAAAATGCTTTGCTCTACAGAGTAGGCCAATGTTCCTTGAGATTTTATTTTCAAGATAATGTATGTGATCTTTCCACGTCACATTTTCATCAAGAAGTACACCAAGAAATTTTAATGTGGTTTCTCTTTTTATGTCCTGATTAGCAATACAAACTTTTGAAGTTTTAAAGGAATTTTATCTCAACCGTGAAAACGATGGAAAAAAGTATATTTTGTTTTGGTTACATTTAGAGATAATTTGTTTGCATTAAACCATTCAGTAAGGTTTAATAGCTCTTTGTTTACTGACTTAAACAGAATATTTATATCGTTATGGGCGTAAAATAAATTTGCGTCATCTGCAAATAAAATTGTATCTAGTTCAGTACAAGCATTGCTTAAATCATTAATATAAATGAGAAATAGGAGTGGTCCCAATATAGATCCCTGAGGAACCCTACATGCTATGTTCATATTCGTCGTTTTACCTTCATTATAAGAAATGTATTGTTTTCTATTTGACAAATAGCTTTTAAACCACGCAATATTTGTTATATATGCAATATGTTTAATACCATAGTTTTCTAACTTTGTTAATAAAATATAATGGTCGACAATGTCAAAAGCCTTACTGAGATCAATAAATACACCTAATGTATATTTATCTTCATCAAATGATTTAAAGATATCATGAACAAGATGAACAATGGCCTGATCAGTAGAGTGCCTCTTTTTAAACCCAAATTGCTTACTATAAAAAATATTGTTTGTATCTAGAAAGGAATACAATTTTTTATACATAATGTGTTCTAATAATTTTGAAAAGCATGATAGTATGGAAATAGGTCTGTAATTAGTGATACTAGTCTCATCTCCTGATTTTAGTAAAGGTATTACCCTTGCAACTTTAATTTTATCAGGAAAGATTCCTTGTTCTAGAGAGCGTAAATATATGCAAAAGCGGGGTTTTTATATATGGTATTAATTTAATTATTACATTACTGCTTACATCATCAACTCCATTACCTTTATTTGGTTTAAGTAAGTATACAGCATCAAAAAAAACTCTTTTTCTGTTAGCATATTATGGTCCATTGTATTACTATTAGAGTTAAGTTACAATTTGAAGCAAGTTTTACTTTTTTCTACCTTTGATGCTAAACTTGTTCTAACATATATCAGATGGTACTATACGGTTTATTGAAATTATATTAAAGTTTTGGAAGATTGTAAATGTTAAAGGACCATATGCAGACACGTTTTTGCAATGATGATAGAGCTGTTATATCTTCAGAAAATTATGAAAGAATAACTTTTTTGAGAAAAATTGCTTGAAATTGGAAAAAGCGCAGAAATGACCAGTAGTCAAGGACTAAGACAGTGTCAGCTCACACGTGATACAGGGACAGCACTTTGGCATACATGTTCAGGGATGATTGCTCTTGTCAAGTACTTATTAACTCTGGATTTTGATACGTAGTATTTTGTAAATTTACAACAGACCCTTTAAAAAAAATGTTTGTGAAGCTTTGACAAGGGTCTGGTGGGACTTATTTTATAAACACAAAGCAAATTTTAGAAAAAGTCATAATATTTAAAACCAAATTAATTTTGCAAGTGGGTATAAATATAGATGAAGTTGGAGAGAATGAAGCAGTTCATGATTGTGAAAAGTGTAAGTATTTATTAAATGGCGATTCATCAAGTGTTTTTCATAAATTATCTGAACTGCAAGAAAAGCTTAATATAAATGTTAAAAAAGCCCTAGTTTACATTTCTGGGTATGTTACAAAAATTGAAACAGGCGAAGAAACAAAATTTTATTATGAAAAATATGGGGACTGTGTTAAAGAGATTAATTGTGGAGGTCTCAACATACCGTTCGACAACGCCTGTCAATGGACCATGTTTTGTTATATCATGTTTTATCCTCTTACTGATAAATTATGTCAAAAGTCGTTATGTTATATATTTATGTCAATATCTGACTTTTATGGTTTCAGGATAAAATAGAAATCTGGAGTAGTTTTGTGTAATATTTTGTTTAATAACTATTTAATAACTATTTGTTTAATAACTATTTAATAACTATTTGTTTAATAACTATTTAATAACTATTTGTTTAATAACTATTTAATAACTATTTGTTTAATAACTATTTTTTTTCGTATTTTATATAATCCAAGATCATCAAAAGAACCAAAACAAAAACTTTTAAAGTTGTCAAAGTAAATATAATTTATATATTTTTTCATATTTGTTTTTGTATTTAATCTAATGTTTTTTTTATGAACATATTGTTCATTAGTCTCACTTTATTTTTTTTTCCCCTTTTCAAAGTGTCCGTTCCTTTTAGACTCATTTTTTCTCAATGAATCTTTAAGGTTTATTCATTTAAAAATAGTTGTTTTTTATGAGAGTTATAAACTGATTATTTTTAATTTAAGAAAACTTTTTTAAATTGTGCATTTTACCTATTTTGTAGCAAAATTATCTAATCTAATTTGATGTTAATGAAACATTTACTTCACAGATTAAAAATATTTATTTCTAAGTAATTCAAAAAGACTTATTGAATATGTTTAATAAATATAAGACATAAAACACCTATATTCTTCAATGGCCCCCAGTTTATCGGAAATTTTGTCTGTTTACACGTCCTGTTAGTATAAAGATGGCCATGGTACCTAGTCAAATTTTTTAACGGTTGGATATAACCGTTAAAAAATTTGACTAGGTCATGCGTTTGTACGATTTTAATCGATGTTATCAAAATTCAGCGATTAATTGGAGAGAAAATGTAAAGAACAAAATTTTATAATAATTTCCTAATAACCTAAGTGATTAAAAAAAATTATTTTATAAGAAATAAATTTTGTTGCTTGATAATTTCAGAGAGTTTGTTTAAAATAGTCACAGGATGACACATGACAAGCAATAATTCTCAAATAAATAGATGTTGTAAAATTGTATATTTAATAACACAGGACTTTATTTAAACATCATATACGTATATGATGTTTAAGGTAGTACAACCCCATTCAAAAATTTTTTTATATATATATAGGTATATGATGTTTATATATATAGGTATATACCTATATATTTAAACATCATATACATATATATATAAAACTAAAATTAGTTGCACGCCATGTGTGAAAAGTATGTTTTATTTATCACATTTTTCTATCAGTTTCCAAAAAAAAAAAGTGTTTTTTGCAATTCAAGCATTTCAAGAATTTTTTCTATGCAAGAAAAATCGTTTATATAATTCACTTTTTTTTAACTGCGGTTGTGAATAAAATATTTTGAATGCGTTAATATTAATTATTGCGTATTACGGAAAAAAAGATATAAAAGTTAAAAAAATAAAAAAATGTTTATGATATAATTGATCCATCCTTATTTCATATTTTCGATCTATCTTTTAAATCAGGTATAGTTCCGGATCCGGAACAATCGTACAATTTTTAAACTATCCGCGGATAGTATAAAAATTGTACGAGTCACTCCAATTTTTAAGACTGGAGATGAGTCAGACCCCTAAAATTACAGACCTATTTCTGACTTATCGTGTTTTTCTAAATTACTTGAATGTGTAATGTACAATAGACTGTATAATTATTTAATGGAAAATGATATCTTGTATAGTAAGCAGCTTGGTTTCAAAAATGTTCAACTGATCACGCAATAGTAGAATTATTTAACCATTTATCTAAAGAATACTGTTTTATATTAGGAGTTTTTATTGATCTGTCCAAAGCAGCGCCGTTCCGAAGAGGTCTTCCATGAGGGGGAGGGGTGGGCATGTATTTTTTTTCCAACTAGAAACAC